ACAGTTTGTGAATGTCTGAGCTCAGAGTTGGCGCTCACAATAGACACTATGGTCTGAGTGAATCCGTCGTTTTTATCTGTTCTTGGGGCGAACGAACAAATTTGTCGCACAAGGGCTGGTCACCATCACAAAATGTTCATGTTACCAGCTATAACTAGCATGTTAGAATCTTGCCTGTCATACAGGCTTCGATGGAATTGTTCGTTGTCATCCATACTGCATTCTGTTGCGGTATAGGGAAATATAAAAAGTGATTTACTTATTTTTGCCTACCTTCGGTAATAATAATAATAATAATAATAATAATAATCGTTCAGCTGTAGCACCCTTTCGGTGCCTAGCTGCCGTGCCACCTGAAGGTTGCACGAGGGCTGGGATAGTGCCAGGTTGCCCAAGCCTAGACAGGGGAAGTCGAGTGGCAGAGGTCGGCTTCGAACCATGGACCTCATTATCAGTAAATTCGCGCTCTAACCAATCGGACCATCGCGCCATCTGCCTTTGGTGGACTTTGATAGGTCCGGCTAGTTGCATGGCACACAAACCCACTTCAATAAAGGGCCTTTAACCTTAGGTAAGGAGACGATTCTAACGCATTGGATACCGGGAGATTGTATCTCACGATCGCCGGATACCCGAGGATTAAAGCATGAACAGTGGGAGTCTCTTTTTAACCCTTCCGAGACGCATTTCCCTGGAATGATCTTGTTTGTGTTTCTGATTCAAGGAGACGAAAGGATCAGAGTGGAGCAAACCTTTCGGTTTGACCGGAAATTTGAGAGTAGAAAGTGCTTCTTATTTACCCATGCCTGAGAATTTGGCTTAGATCACTGCGCCTTGGGCCTTTGACCTAGAATTCTTGACAGCAAGCCCGTGGGATAATCTAGAACTGTGTTTAGGGTCCTCATCCATAGCCTTTCCTCTACAAGTCTTGCTCATAAGTCATTGGATTCTAGAGCTTCTCTCGGGTGGGTGTTACGGATGGAGTATCGATCCTGACTGAGCGCGAGAACAAGACTGAATAGCGTAAAATGAATAGTTCTTTACCTCTCTGAGAGTAGACATACGTAGACTGAAAGTGAAGGCGAAAGCATTTTCAATGCGAAACGACGCAAAAGATATCCATGATATTCAGAGAGGTAACTCGGACACAGGGAGTGATTGTAAAAATCTGCTGCGGCTTAGTGACAAGTGTGGTCATGCTTCCCGGTTTCTTAAAAATGTAGGGTCATGTACGTTGTTGGAATCTGGCTAAATGAGAGATACCAGGGTCATATGTATTTGGAGATAAAGGTGCATCGTCCGGGCATGGGAGTGAGACTGACGTATGATCGGTATTATTTTCAACGTTATTGATCGAAGGCGCGTGCAAGTCAGATAGTGGGGGTGAATGAACACCATTACCTTCATGGGTTGAGTTACGCGTGAACTCGTTGACATGTGTGATCACCAAAAGGAACGAGATTGCGGACGGATACAGTGCCTTCTTTTCCTCTGGGAAAACGAACGTGGGCGTAATGTGGATTGCAGTTTAGAAATTCGACTTCCTCAAAGATTAGTTCATACCTTAAGTAACGGTCAAATGTTTCCGGAAAAACAGGCCCTGAGATAGCCAAGTTGATATAGGCAAACCACGGCCAAATCGACGTCCAAACTGAAACATCCGTTCATGTGGAGTGGCATTCGTGGAGACGCAGAGAAGGGACCGTATACAGTGGAAGGCATCTGATAGAGCTAACTTCCAGTGACAGATCTGAAGGCCTGTCGTCTTGAATCTATGCTGGGTTGCTTTCAAGAGTGCGTTGTCGAGGCGTTCGACTTGCCCGTTCCCCTGGGGATTATAAGCAGTTAATTAGCAAACTCCTCTGTCACCTAGCAATGTGGACAGTTCGTCAGGTATGAATGAGGAGCCACGATCCGAATGTACATATGCGGACATACCAAACAAAGAGAATAATTCTCACAGACATTTAATAACGGTAGATGCACATGTACCGGTACAGGAGAAGGCGAACGGGAAAACTCTTCAACGATAGTAAGGAGATATCGGTTAAGAGTAACAGGAGGCAGAAGTCCTCTAAAATGGACGCTCATTCTTTCGAATGATTGAGTCCCTTTGATGAGCGTAGAGGGCGATGGTTTGTAAAATCTACGTTTGATGGTGGCACAAACCGTACGTTTCGTGGCGATGTCTTTGACATCTTGGAAGGAGGACGACAATTTTTTGGAAAGAACAAAGTGATGCATGCGAGTAATTCTGGGAAGGCACAGGGAGTTACATTGGCGCATAAGTAACGCGATAAGGTATCAGCCACCAGATAGTCTTTTCCAGGTCTGTAGTTGACATCGTTGCCAAATGCGGAGAGTTCCATTTTCCGGCGCTCCCTTATTTTCATGTTAACTGTCCTCTGAAGTCATTCGAATCGTAACCCGCTTTGCTTCATGTTCGGCAATATTCAAGGAACTTCGACGCAGGGCCAGTTGCCCATGTGCTTATTTGTATCCTTTTCCACCTGACCAAATTTCCGTGAAACGCCTGACGATTGTACCATCATTTAACTAATTTACCAATTCGCATGCTCGTTGAGTAGCACAATGCACTGTGAAACAGATAGCCCGTCCGCCATCATAATCAACGTCAATGTTAAAAACTGATGCAGCGCTGCTGTAATACCCTGATTTATTTGGAAACCTTACTGGGAAGAAAAGACCAGGTAGGTAATATTTCACCAGTGTGTCACCTCCGATAAACCATCCACAAACTTGGGTAATAGCTAGGCAGAACGGTCGACGAAGGGTCAAACTCATGATTACAGACGCCCACAACCGCATTAGAAAATACGAGAGAATAGCCAACGAACTAGAGAGATGTGCTTGAGGACAACAGGACGAGACCTCATTGAGCAACTCAATACGGCTTAGTGGTAGTTTAACAAAATCACGTTGAGGTGCCTACACATACATTCATTCATTCAGACGACAAAAACACCACTAACATCGATCAGCGGTCATGTCTTGCAGCTTCTCCAACCAGGCACAGAGAGGATCACACGGACTTCATCCTAGAAGGGAAGGCTTACCGATAGCACCCAAATGTTTCGTAATCCCTCTTATGCTTCTACTAGGCCAGAGACTGACCAGCACTGTGCTCACGCTACTCTGAAATAGGCACGAAAAACAGCACTCTCTTCGGCAAACGATAGTTCGGCGCTCGCAATACATGGGCCAACCATCTCAGTTTCTAATGCTGGATAAACTGTTCGATTTAGGTCCCCGTTGCACAACCGAACACTCGTTTTCTGATTTCCTTCTTACGGATTAGCTGTCTACATGAGAAAAGGCTCTTTGATAATGGTCGTCAAAGACCTCAAGACGCTGCCCGAAGGGGCCACGTCTTACGGCCATACAACAGACCGTCCCTTAAGATGTAGGAATATGCCACTGTGACGCCACGGGTGTCTGAAATTGCCAAACACTACCCGAGCCTTGTAAACACGTACATTGACCTCATCTGTCACACTACAACCAAAATGAATACAACTTCCAAGATACATAAAATTCTCCACAACTTCGAGTGCCTCCCCCTGGATTGTTAGTGGTATGTTCAGTGGCTGCATATCCACGAGCGCAGCCCTACACTTTGTGGATGCTAGGTGCATGTTGAAGGCCATGATATATATGCTGTAGCAACGTGTATGTCTGCACAGTCCCTACTGTTGGTGTTCCTGGATCTCCAAGTCGTTCAGTTTTGATGGTCAGTATTCACCTCATTATGTTTTCCAGGCAAGAATTGTCCTAGAATTTGGTGCACGTAGTGAGTATTCCGAATTTTCAGATACGCAGTTGCATGTGAGTTTATGGGAAACCCAAAAGCCTCCAAGTAAAATGTCTGATAAGGATGCTAACTCTTTTCATTTGGTTTTATGGTCGACAAGGTTTCCAAAAGCCTGGTGTGCAAATAGTTGTCGGAAGAGCACCTTGTCAAACTGGAATATTCAGACAACATTGTCCTTGTCCTCCAAGAAGAGGTAACTGCATCATTTTTTTTGAGTGAACAGCTCAAAGTTACTTCATTCTCTGATGTGCTTTGTGCCCACAGAGTTTAAGACCATGCTCCCGCATGTCTAGTAACTGGACATGCCGCTTGCACTCTAGAAAAGATGAGTTTCTGGAGCGTTTGTCCAATTTGGGAACTGCGTTAGCGCCGACTGCAGTGTGACAGATGTGCGCTGTGCACGAATCTTTATAGTCCCGAGGATTATGCCACTAAATCTCAAGGGAACAATGTGGACTGTTTTATTGTGTGGTTGTGACGCATGACCTCAGCAGGCACTGGAACGGAGGATCCTTCAGGGCATTGGTAACCGCCGTTTCAGAACCCGCATCAATACGTGTAGAAAACTGCTGTGGGTTGTTTAGCAGAGAACTTGATTGTCTGGCGTCCAAATTTGCTTAGTTTGGTGATGTATTCCCGAAACCAGTACTGTTTTCTGAACCTACTTCCGAGTAGCGCAACCAACAAGGTTCATGAGTACTTGGCCAAGGGTATTGCTAGTTATGATAGCTACTAGATGTCAGTGATGTTCTTGCTTTCATTTTCCATCCCGGTCGTCGAAACTGATGTCTAGAGGTGTAATAAAGTGGGAATGGTTGTAGTCAGTACCTTGCTCCTTTTTATTTTTCCAAAGTAGAGCTTCCAGATCGTTTCTGGTTGTATGGCAGCAAAAAACTGATGTACTGTCGATGGTTATAGTGGTGATGATGACGCCACGCAATCTAAGACCCTTCTCAGATTCCAGTTGGGATATGTGCGGCGACTTTGGTTTCCTGGCTCAAGTGTCGTGACAAATACCCACATTAGTTTGGGGTTCTAGGAAACTGCCACGCTTCGACACTTTACTCACACTCCATCTATTTCACGTGACCTATCTGAGTTCACCGGGGATTTGTCACTCACTCTGTCGTCAAAAACCCTATCCACGGCTATTAACACACGGAAGCAACATAAGCATATGCGGTCGCCACTGGAAGCTAGCAAACCATAACAAACACCTTTCTATCCCCACTGCTTTTGTGTCCGCACCCATTGCTTTTGTACTTCCTTGCTCGCTGACTGCAACTATAATTTTCCAGCCCTGTAGGCTGTGGCTTGCATTTTATGTCCTCTTAAAGCTAGCGACACGCGAATCCGTATCTGCCACCTCTTAAGGGACCAAAGGGCATTCATCCATACCAATTTTAGCTAGATAGGTACCAGGAGGTGAATCCAATGGTTTAGTGAACTTTCAATATTGACAGACCAAGGTGGAGGAACTTTTAGTATTTTTAACAACAGAAAGTGGACGTGGTCCTGTGATGCTTTGCTCTTCGTTAGAAACTGAATCAGCTTTTTGAACACATTGCATTAGCTAACCGTCTACGATAATTTTATGTATTTCTCCTCCGAATTTTGTTTCGTTTGTTAAACCGACTAGCAGGTGAAGTAGAATGTCGGGTTTTCTAAGGAAATTACAGCCCTCCCAGGAAATAGGTAA